CGCTCGCTGCGATCCCAACAGAGCCGACCACCACGCTACCACCTGCCGCGATGCAAATCGCATTGCGACGCCATATAAGATTCGAGCGCCAAGAGGATGCCAAGTAAAGGCCGAAAAAGAAACCCAGACGCTGAACTTGCCCGTGGGTGAAAAGTTGCATGAAGAAAGAAGCCAAGTAGGGTACCGGATTCCTGTATAAAAAAAATGCTAGAGGAAACCCATTATAATATATATATATATATGGATGGGATGGGCGGTTGTATGTACATATATACACACATTGACATGCATGTACATACACCTCGCCGTTTGGGCAGGGCGAGAGGGAAAACATACATACATACATACATATTCTATATCTATATCTATATCTATATCTATATCTATATCTATATCTATATCTATATCTATATCTATATCTATATCTGTATGTTTATTTATGTATATATGTGTCATCTACCACTGCTACTACCGCCACTACGGCTGCACTACTATACCACTACTACTACTCCTACTCCTACTCCTACTCCTACTCCTACTCCTACTCCTACTCCTACTCCTCCTCCTACTACTACTACTACTGCTACTACTGCTACTACTGCTACTACTGCTACTGCTACTGCTACTGCTATTGCTACTGCTACTGCTACTGCTACTGCTACTGCTACTACTACTGCTATTGCTGCTACTACTACTACTACTACTACTACTACTACTACTACTACTACTACTAGGGAATGGTTTCTTGGGAGGCTGCACTCCGTCCCACTGCAAAATCAGAAACATACCAATACAGCTGGCATGCATCGGAAAGCTCATTGACGCTCCCGCCTGCTACTGCAAACTGCCGCTTCTGGAGATTTGACGGTCCATGTATACCCCGTGCTCGGGGAAGCGAAAAAGCTGGAAAAGCCAAACAGCAGACTGAACAGCTGAAGCTTCTTCTATGGGGACACGTTTGGCTGTTCTATCCACCTGGATTTGGCTGGCGGCAACCCGATGAGGGAGGTTCCCTGGGTGTCGACGGATACACGAAAGGAAGCTGCGACGACTAATGCGGAACTGGTCGGAACAATGCTCTAAGACGGCGAGGGCTGCGTCCATGTTTGACGCGGAAAACTGCAAGTGGAGTTTGGACACCAGCTGCACAGTTTGCTGGGTTTGTACTGTATACCCGCCTTGCTCTGTCTGATACTCTCTTGGATAGTGGCGGAGTGCTCTCTAATTAAAGGTCTTTCACATAGTCTAATTTGCGATACTGCACCTTTGCTGACACCCTATGTACTGGCCGTCCTGTCGTGGCTTTACCTTGTGTTTTTGGTGTTTTCGGAAGTCGTCGGTACATGACTGCGGGGTGTGTAGTTTGACTCTGTTGATCGGAGCAGGCCTTCGTACTTGGTGGCTCTAACTTCTTGTTCGTGCTGTGTTCTTAAAAGAGGCCTGATCTGATGTGACTTTTTACTCTTGGCTGAATTCGCCGAATGCATTCCAGTCGTCGTTGCTCTCATAGAGCCCCGCGAAGCTCGCATAGCCGTGCTAGGTGGGTGACAAAAAAAAGTACCACTACTACTACTACCACCACCACCACCACGACGACGACGACGACGACTACTACTACTACTGTTGCATCCACTCACTGGCAATCAATTCAGATGCCTCTCACACTGAAGGAGGTGTGTGTCGAATTCATAGACAACGTACCTGCTGCCTTGCTTCGTGTACTCAGCCAGGCAGGAGGAAAAAACTACACTAGTACTACTACTATTATTATTATTACTACTACTACTACTACTACTACTACTACTGCTATTACTACTACTACTACTACTATTACTATTCCTACGACGACGACGACGACGACGACTACTACTGCTGCTGCTGCTGCTGCTGCTGCTGCTATTACTACTACTACTACTACTACTACTACTACTACTACTACTACTACTACTACTACTACTACTACTACTACTACTACTATTACTACCACTAGGACTACTACTACTGACTACTACAGTTCTACTTTTATCAATTATTGTATTATTACTAGTGTTACTACAACAACGACGACGACTACTACTGTTGCCTTTGTTAAACGACCGCGGCCTGTATTCGTGCGATCACAACCCTTACTGCCACTACAACACCAACGAGGACGACAACAAGACACAGTATTGCCTTGGCTGTCGTCGGCGTGCTGGCTTTGGTTAGCAAATCGGAACATGGTTGACGGCCATTTCGAACCGGCCTGAACGTGCCCGAGGCCAACGGTAGTTTCCTGACACGTCCTTATTCAGCCGTTGATGCGGTTTTGCCGGATGCGGGGAGGAAGTTAGTTCATTTGGCGGAACAAACTAGTAACTAACAAATTCAAAAATTGGCCGGGATATTCGCCTGGGCCCCGCTGCTTGGCAGAAACGTACGTCACGTGTTTGAGCGTGCTTGCGTTCACAGCACATGTTTGCATTTACTGCATGTCGTGCATTGGCGATTTTTTGTGGTTCAAGTTGTTCGATTATTGCCATGGTCGTAGAACTGCTCTCATGAGCGAGCAAATGCTTGGGCGACACGCCTGCCAGCCTGGCACAGTGGGATGAATCCTCCACGCCCCCCAGCACCTGCACAGGGCAAAGGCCATGTCGCAGATGTTTCGTTCAATCGTTGTAGTGATGGGCAACAATTGCAATAATTACCATCTTGCAGCTTCTAATTTGCCTGTTGCGGAGGAGCCGGCCGAGGGGCACCAAGGCCCCCGGCCCCCCCGGTGCAGGCGGGCTGTTGGGCTCAGGGTTGGACCGAGGTTTACGGGATACGCATGTTTTCGACGGTGAGACTTGCAAACGGAGCTGCTAACTGATTCGTTCCGAAATAGATCTTTAAACCCAAACCCCCAAACCCTAATTCCTTGTTGACAGTTTCTCGTGAAGGCGACACTTCCCGGGAGCCTTAAAGCAGCTCCGGCAGCTGCTGCTGTCCCTGCTCCGGCGGCAGCCCCTGCAGCTCCAAGTTCGGAAAATGCACCGGCAGATTCGGCACAGTTCCAGGCTCGAAACATCTCGAAACCATTTGCAAGATCGTTTGGGATTATTAGTCATGGCTGCGGTTGGCATTCTCGGAATATATATATATATATATATATATTTATTAACCTATGCATGCACTTTCGCTGGTTTCTTGCAGCATGATGTCTCACTTCGTTTTTGTGTACATATTTAGCTGCTGACCGCGGGACGGTTGTTTCAGGACTTTTGCTGCTGTATACATAAGAGAAGAAAGAACATATGTATGTATATATATATATATATATGTGTGTGTGTGTATATATATATATATATATACATCTATACATATACAAAAACACACAGACACAAACATGCATTTGTATATATATATATATACACATATGACGGCATATGTATGTAAATACATATACACACATACGCTGGTTTGTGGGAGACCGCAACCAGTCAAGCGCTTTTTCCGTTCTGCGAGCAAACACGTGGCAGTTCATGCTGACCTTCTTGCAATTTGCGTTTAAGAATCTGGTAAATGGTTGTTTCCTCGAGGACTATCGCCAATGAGTACAATAATAGGGGCTTAAATAATTGCCAATACTACTTTAGGGTTCCTTACTATAATTGTAGTGTAATGGTCCCAAAACCATATTCTATTTGTTACGGCCCTCATATTATAGACCAAGCCCGAATGTTAGCTATGCTTGAAGTAGGGGCAGATTGAAATCCGATCGAATGCAACGGCAGAATGAGAGAGTGCGAGAAATTCGGCAGTCTTTATGGGATTTCGTAAACTTATGGCGAGTCAGCTGTCCTGGCGTGACGTTGCAAGCCAGTTGCAAAAAGGTTTTGGTATTTAGGGTTTTGGGTTTGGGGATCGCTTGGCGAGGATGGCTTGCAGTGGACTCGAATCTTGAAGAGCATTCCAGAAAAGCACCTCGCCCGCAGGGGTTGACAGAAAACTGGGAGGATACCGACACGGATATGTTTTTTCTGTACCGGAGTTTGAAGCGATGCTAGCTGATTCTCGCTTTTCAATGCCCCAGCTCGAGGACGGCACCCGCCGCGGCGGGCTCAGCATCGCAATCACTGAGTGAGGAGATGGACGAGCAAACGGGGGCGGCGGCCAGCCGAATAAGGCCAACTGAGATCAAATGTATTAGAGGATGCGTTTCGAAGTGTTGTTTGCCGGAGACCGTTTTCGGGCACGTTACTGTTGCCTACTCTTGCCCCGAGCGCTTCTCACCCGTGCATGGTTTCCAATGGTTTCCACATGTTGCCACGATCGCGCCAGTTTCGATGGCGAGCTGCCAGAAGTACACGAATTTCATGTTCGCCAGACTTCTGACGCGACCAGCGGGACCAACTCAGCAACCTGATTTTGTTAGCCGAGCTTTGTGCTTATCCGTTAATAGAAGCTTAAGCTAGTAATTGCTTATATTGTTCCTTGTACATCCCATTCAATCCTTCCTATATTTTCATGCACTTTCTACTTAGTTTACTATGAAGAAGCCCACTGCCCTATTCTGATGTCTCAGGCCCTATAGAGTAATGAGGTTGGTGGAGTGGTGTGTCTGAGTCCTGCATGCTTCCCTCAGGCTGCATTAGCCGCGATGCGCATGGGCAGGGAAAATTCTGAGCCGGGCCAGTCTTCGGACGAACTGTTGGGCAGCATGCGTGGCAGGACAAATTCGTTTTTGTTTTTGGGGTGGTTGTGTTCGTGCCTCTCTTTTGCCCTCTACACTCTCTCCCCTCTTCAACGTATCACTCTCTCTCTCTCTCTCTCTTTCTCTCTCCTTCCCCCTCCCCCCCTCCTCCTTGTGACGGTCTCGTGCTAGTCTTCTCCTGAGCTCCTGGTCGTTGCTAGTCTGCCGGCGTTCTTCTCCCAAACTCGTATTCTCGAGTAACGGCCCAGGACCCGGAAGGTTCCCTTATTGGTGGCCTAGGCCTCCACACTGGTGTTTTGGAAGAGAGACGCCAAGTGCGCAGGAACATACCAGAGGAGTTGGCCGAATTGGCGCCAATACCCTCGTCGTCTTCTTCCTCTTCGGACTCTCAGTCAATGCCATCACCGCCCGCCGGCTTCAGTTTCAGTGTTGTCTAGTGCGGTCCATGGTTTTAGGTTGTCGCTTCGTCTTATGTGATATATGCACATGTACCGTATACCTCTTGAAGGAAAAGGCGCGTATACATCTCATGTATAACCACATATTATATGCGTCGGTTTGGATGTGTGTGTGTGCGGGTGTGCGGGTGTGTGTGTGTGCGTGCGTGGGTGTGTGTGTGTGTGCGCGTGTGTGTGTGTGTGTGTGTGTGTGTGTGTGTGTGTGTGTGTGTGTGTGTGTGTGTGTGTGTGTGTGTGTGTGTGTGTGTGTGTGTGTGTGTGTGTGTGTGTGTGTGTGTGTGTGTGTGTGTGTGTGTGTGTGTGTGGTGTGTGTGTGTGTGTGTGTGTGTGTGTGTGTGTGTGTGTGTGTGTGTGTGTGTGTGTGTGTGTGTGTGTGTGTGTGTGTGTGTGTGTGTGTGTGTGTGTGTGTGTGTGTGTGTGTGTGTGTGTGCCAATGCTACGTGTTGTACACAATGCTCACAATGCACTTCTGTGATTTCTATCCATTTGTCCACGGTAGTTAGTGATGAAGACATGCATCCATCCATTGATTCTGTTTCTGTGCATGTATGAAAATGTTTAAGTGTGGCATCTAAAGTCAGGTGGAAGTCGAGGTCAATGTGCCTGTCCACACTGCTCTTGAAGAGGGGTTCTTCTGTGGGAACAGCTACAAACCTCACCTGGCTTGCTCGGGTGCGAGTGCCAAAAAAGTAGGTACCTAAGTATGCATGCATGCAACTGCACGCATGCACGCTTTGAGGACTGCAGTGGCAAATGCTATGCAAGCTGTGGCCAGAACTTTTTCATCCGAAAGACCGATGCTACATCGAAGCAGCTGCTTGGCCACAAGCTTTGGAGTTGCTCAACTATAGTGGTTGCTACTCACCGTGCTTCAAAGGCATTTGAAATTTGCACTTTGCTGGTGCGATGCTTGGAAAGCCTGGAAAGTTCATGATTAAGTTGCAGGCAGGTCTTTACAGGTGACATTCCTCTGCATGGGAATGTGCTTGACAGATCTCGTGGCACCTGCTTCGCAATGAGTTCAGAAATTCAGCAGGCTTAAAGGTATAAAGAACTGGCACCCTGCAATCCCAAATCGTCCGTCAGTCAATCAACGTTTGCCGTGGGAGGCAACAAGCCCGTGATGAAATCGATTCTCAAGAAGCCGGCTACTGACGACCGAGGGCAGTACAGCCAACGCTTGAGCCGCTTGTCACTTGCGTGAGACTCTGCATCATCAAGACTAAAGGACACGCGTAGATGTTGGCACATGCTGGCACATGTCATACTCATGTACTTGCCAGAATTATCAATCCGACCCGTTGGCAGCCTTTTGGATGGGACCCCGGGCAGTCAATCGTTGCTTGATGACCGATCGAGGTCTTACCATGGCAAGCCTGTCATCTCAAGACGTGCCTCGGCAGCAGTGGCACGATGATGGCGATCGTCGGCAGCCGGAGCGTCGCTTTCGCAGCGGCAAATCGTGCATGCTTGCAAGCTGCTAAGCTGCTGAGGATCTGAATTTCTTTTCCGAAGAAGATCGAAGAGATAAGAAGACTCTGGGCATTCATCCAGCATTCATCAGTCGTGGCACGTTTTTGCTGCGTTCATTGGCCGTTTAGCTGTTTTGGGCATGGGGATTCCGTACCATGACTGAGTTGTTTGGCACTGTCCGGTCCGTACCACCAGTAATTAAACGAAGCATTGCAATTCGTTCTGGGATGTCATTCGTTGCCACGTCATCCCGCAGTGATATGGGAGTGTTTGGTCGGAGCTTGCGGGGAGCAAGTCCAGACCCTCAGCATCCCAATGCCAGCACCTAAATCCCCAATCCGACGTGCCGGACAGTATGTCCTGCTTTCCTCTGCTGGAATCCAGGACCTGCACTATTGTAGACGACCAGGAGGAGCTCCGTGCCGAACGTGAGGCAAGCTCTAGTCTAGGTCAGGTGTTCATTTTGTTTGGTTCGTTTTCAAGGTTCGTACGGTTGGTCGTGGACCGGTTCCAACTATAGGCTTTCCGGTTCAGGAAGAATGATGCTGTTACTGTAGCCGATCGCAGAAAAACGACCAAGATCGACGAGACGTGCAGAAGCACAGCAGGAATGCAAAGACAGCCACAAACACCCACTCAAGACTATTTCCACTGCTTCCCTTTTGATTCGTCGAAGTGCCAATGTGGTGCGCCAGAAGGGCGCCCCGCGCGCAAGCATCTCCACAATGTTTTCAGCACTATGAGACAGCTGAGCTGTCATGGCACAGCGCTGTTTGTTGTTGTGCTGGCATATTTGGAGACCTTGTCACAAGTCGCGTCGCATGGATATGACCCGTTTGGCTTGCCCAAATGCCACGACTGCTGAACATGCTGAACATGTATTGGCCATTTTCATGGCCGTATGCATTGTACATCCAGCAATGCTACGGCGACCAGCTGCATGTGCAGACTACGGATAGAAACTAAGACCAATCACCCGTTGCATGTCTCCTCAGGGGATGGTGTGACAGGGCGAAAGTATTCCAACTGTCCCCCCATAAGTCGTAGCTATTAAATGATATGTCCTGCAACTTTCCATCACCGAGAGTTAAAAGAACCGTCCCGACCAGCTGGGAGCTGCATTTTGCTTTTCCTCAGCAATCAGTCAATTGGCCCATGCAACGCCGGAACTGGACATAGCAGTCATAGCAATTTGGTAGTTGTCAGCTCTACCTGCAGAATGCTTGCTTCCAAGCGCTAGTGGCGTAAAGGTCGGGTATGAAGGACTTGCAGATTTTGTGTGTTTGCTTCGGAGTGGACCGGCACGACAGAAGTTTCGAGGCTGCGAAGACGTGGGTTTGAAGGTGTGCATGTTTGACAGCCTTTTCTTACGCCCCCAGCCTTCTGCAAAGCAAAACCCTTATATCAGCTAAGCCCTACCCTGAAAGCTCTAAAGCCCATTGTGGAAGTACGCTCAGAACTTGTCTTAGAGCCCGGAACAAAAGTCCCCTTCTACCAAGACCACAAACACCCAGACCTTCCAAAAACCCTTAATTAAGGAATATCCCTTAAATTATCGTAGGATCTTTAATATGATTTAAGGTATATTCCTTAATTAAGGGATTTTGGAAGGTCTGGGCACCCACTATTAAGGACCATAAGGCCTCCGTTGATGGGCCCTTAAGGGGGGTCCTGGTAGACTTCCCTTAAACTTTAAACCCTAAACTTTACACCCTCG